ATCTAGGGAGCGGATATTATCAAGGCTGACCACAAGGATCTGTACGAGTCGAAGAACATCCCGTACTTTGTTCCGAGTCGGTTGTAAGTACTTATCAGTGGCTAGAATATAGATTTGGTTTAAGGGGTTGGGAGATTGTATCGATGAATATTGGTGACATGTTAGCTTTTTGCATTGCTCTTTAGTCTCCGCTTTATGAATTCATCTCGTGCTGAGCCAGTCTTTATGCACATGAAGCATGCTCTATTCTATAAAGTTTTAAAATGTACCTAATGCATATACAGAACGGAAAAGAGAATAATAGTCACAACTGGTAAAAACCCTTCCGACTCCAAAAACACAGCAACCTGGTCAACATTTCCACATCAAACTGCACATATCTGATCCCCGGCGCATCCCTCAACGCCGCAACCGTATTGGAACAATCATAACGCGTCGTATTCTTGTGCATCTCCAACCACGACAGCCCATCCTGCACTGTCTCCTGCAACAGCGACATTAACGGCACCAACGGATTATCAGGGCCACCCCTTTCCTGCAGCAAACGCACCCAGTCCCAATATTCCACCAGTTCAACCGGATACCCTGCCTGGTTCATAATCCGCCACGTCTCTTCAAGATCGACCGAGTCCGCCTCATCAGGAGAAACGAGGTTGTACGTCTTTCCGAGATTTCCATTATTAGCAGCAATATGCAGCACCGAATCACACACATAATCCGCAGACACATACTCCATGCGCTGATTAGGAAGATGCGGAAACGCACCAACCTGGATACATCCCATGACGAACCGAGCGAAGAAATCATCCGGATTCCCACACCCCTGCTCGACATCGCCTAAAATAAACCCCGGACGAAAAATCATAGCTGCCAGACCCTGATCGCGCGCCCGACGCACCATCATCTCCGAGACCCATTTTGTAGCCGCATAGCCGAGCTCATATTTCAGTGTGTGGAGATGCGGCTCCAGCGGACCGTCCTCGAGGACCTTCTCCGTGCCTAGGACGTGGCCGGTTGGCCCGAAGACGTCAATACTAGACATGTACATGAACGCCTTGCGGCGACCGGAGGTAGCCACTTCCATGACGTGGCGGGTTCCGAGGACATTATCATCGTAGTGCGCGGCATATGGTTCCAGGTAGTTGACTTTCGCGGCGAGGTGGAAGACCACGCTGGCCCAGTTGGTCAGCCAGATGAACATGTCCTCAGTTAGACCGAGATGTCTCATGGTGATGTCGCCGTTGAGGACGGTGAGTTTGTGGATACAGTGTGAGGTCTTATCCCAGAGGTTGTAGCGTTCCAGGACTGATTGGACCCTTTCGCTGGCTGAGATGCCGAATTTTCCTCGCACTAGACAGACGACTTCCTTGATGGTGGGCATTGCGAGACAGCGGCTGAGGAAGTGGGCGCCTACGAACCCTGTTGCGCCTGTGAGAAAGATGCGGCCTTCTTCGGCAGCTTGCCAATTTGAGACGGTGTGGAGATCATCGGCTGTGTGGGCGTCTGTCATCCAGCGGTCGAGGTCGTTGGGATTGTTGTCTTGAATGGAGTTGTCGATGCGGTTGGCTAGGTCCGTCAGTCGGGGGCTTTCGTACAATGTACGCATGGAGACGGTGTTTCCGAATTGCCTCCTGGTTCTGGAGATCACAGCAGCCGCCTGAAGGGACGATCCTCGAAGAGTGGAGAAGAAATTATCTTCGTCGTGGATTTGCTGTTGGCCGAGAACGGAGGTCCAGATCTTTCGGAGTAGGTTTGCTGTGGTGGTTGGGTCTTCATTCGTTGGATGAACTTCCTGGATCTTGGTACAGTGGGTGGTATACTGCCTCGCTAATGCCTTGCGATCAACCTTGCCATGGTCTGTTAGGGGATAGTGCGGGCAGAAGACAATATCCCGCGGCACAGCGTAAACTGGTGCCTTTTGCTTAATGAACTCCAGCATGTCTGTAGCTTGAACAGTACTAGCAACAGCCGGAATGAGAAATGCAACGAGGAAAGGTTCGTCTTCGGCAGTTTCTGGCTGAATTTGACACACCGTCGCGGCTAGTAGCCGGTTACTACTAAGGAATGACTGCTCGATCTCGCCAAGTTCGACGCGAAAACCGCACTGCTTAACCTGCAGGTCTACACGACCGATGAACTCGAGCAAAGATGGATCGTCGGGACGCCACTTGGCAAAGTCACCGGTTCGGTAGAGTCGGTACCCTGCTTTATCGACGAAAAATCGCTCCTCATTTTCTTTAGGACGTCCAATATATCCTGCCGTCAGGCCAGGTCCGCCTAGGAGTATCTCGCCGATGCTTCCGGGCTCGGTTATGATATTGAGGTGGTCATCAGCAAGGAAAAACCTTGTATCGCCGAATGGTGCACCAATGCAGATACTGTCGTGGCACAAGTCATCTGCCGTAACTGAATGCATTGTTGACACGATCGTCGTTTCAGTAGGGCCGTATGCGTTCCAAAGATGTTGAGGTGTATTAGGCGATTCAAGGACAGCCTTCACGCTGGCCATATTGGCTACTTCACCAGCAATGAGGACATGTCTCAACCCAGTAAACGCACTGGAACATGCTTGTGCAATTACTGAGAAGAGTGAAGTAGTTAGGAAAGATACAGATATATTTTTCCGTGCGATGAAACTCTTAGCTTCCAACGGATCCGTAATTACCGGCCGGGGTACTATGACCAGCGTGGAGCCTGACATTAGAGCGACGAATATTTCAAAAATTGACATATCGAAGCCCGGATTGTTAAATACGCTCATACGGTCCGATGGCAGAAGCGGCGTGGCAGGACTTTTGAACATAAGGTGAAGGATGCCACTCTCGGGAATCTGAACCGCTTTTGGCTTTCCACTGGACCCTGATGTATACAGGATATGACTTCGATAATCACAGTTGGGCAGACCCTTCAATTGCACACGCTTAACACTGGCTGTCTCCGGTCGGACTGCCTTCGTAAGTGGGTGGTATTCGCCACTGATGGGGATAATGACCATATCATTGTCAATATCCAATGTATGGTTAGATAGAATGTACTGTGTTCCGACATCTTTCAGGAGGTTCATCAAACGACTAGTTGGAATCGAAGGCTCGAGGGGAACGCATGTCAAGCCCGCCCGGATGACTGCGAGTTGGGCAATGATGGTCTCACTGCCCGCACCTTGCAAGATACAAATTGGCTCCTCTGGAGGTAGGTCCAGGGTCTTCAGAAGGGATGCGATACGCTGGACTTCACGGTCGAGGTCTGAATACGACCATTGATGTTCTCCATCATCTATTGCCAGGGCTCCCGGATCGATAGCGACGTTATGAGAGAAAAGAGAGTCCATGACTTTGCCCGGTATGTCGGCCGTACAAAGGCCCTTTCGAACTTGAGAGAGTAGTCAAAAGATCTTGAATGCTCCTGGTGGATAGATTCAGTGGAACATCTATTTCTTTCATGCAGTCCTGCCATATTAAAAACCCTTCATCACTTCATTGATATGTACAATCAGATGAAATCACCATGATGATTTGCCATGCGCGCATTGTGACGATTCCCGAACGCCCACCATATTTTAATGGTTGACTGGAACTAGTTCCAGCCTCTCAAAACAATATCGGTGCGCACAGATCGTGGATTCTCCAAGGCAGCTGTCCCTATAACCGTCAGTTGTCAGACTGATAGGCGGGAATGATACCCCACGAGGAAGGTATACATAAAAAAAGAAGAATGATGTGGCTGAACTTTACTTGTTCGTTGATTCCGGTGACATATTCCCCTTTGTGGCTTTGTACGGAACCATGGTTGTGTTGCAGAAAATCATGAAACAGCAAGGATTGAGTTTCTCTTCCCGGAAGGAACTTGTCACGTAGCAACCAACTTGGAAGCTGCATCGCAGCATCGCAAATTTAACGTTTGGTTGGAAGACTGTCTTTTGCTGTGTTCCCGATCAGTGCAGTGACCGGTTGTTCCCTTGTGATCTTGATTACCTGCGCGGGGAGCAAGCCTCATGAAAGTTTACCAATTCATATTTAGTTGAGCAGTCAAAACTACTCACTACAATCAGGTTTGCAATTGTTGCGGCTCTTCCCCATAGCTGCTGTTGCGGGTGATCTCTCCGTCATGAATTCTGGCTTAATGTGGCGTCAACTAGGCCTCGGGATGGTCGATTACCCGCAGAGCATGCCTTTATTGACCAGATGCCTTTGATGTGAGGCGTGGCTGAGTCGATAAATTGAACACACAGAAACTACGCACATAGGAAAGACTTTGGGTAATGCATGATTCGTGCTATTCTTCTAAGCGCCAGTGCAAGAATAAATAGATCTTTCCCGGACAACGCCGTCAACAACACGGCAGCTGGTGAACAAACAAGTAGGAAAAAAAACCCTCTGTTGCGATCATTACACTGCTTATTCCACAAAAGTGTGAATGAGACGAGGCTACTTCATTACGTGGCTGTTAAGAGCACTCCATCTTCCGCGGTTGCACGCTGTCCTATATTTCTCAAGCAGGCTTCAAGATCTCTTTATTTCACTATTCATCATAGGTAATTTCATCCATACAACATCTGCTCAAGTACATTGTCAGGAGTAGGCCAATGTACATATAATGCGCTCTGTTACTCGTCTTCTTACGTTCTCGTTAGCTGTCATATCTGTGTTCATCTTGCCCAGAAGCATCATTAGAAGCATTTGACCTACTTCTTCGCATCAATCAAGTCTACCTTTACCATGAATGAAGTCAGCTGCCATCTGGGAATGCTCCCACGCGAGATATTGGTACGGTTTACCCAATATCTGGACACTTTATCCGCCGTCCACTTATCAAGCACTTGCAAAAGTCTCAAGGTGCTCCTACGAGAGAGATATTCCTGGGAGGCATCTCAACATGCAATCACAGAATTTGAGTATTTTGTTAACTCTTGGATATCTCGCTACCCTAAACTTTCCGGAATTCCTGGCCCCCCTGGGGATATGTGCAGATTAGCCACCCCCGATGATCTCCCACTCAGAAAGATGTTGCTTCGGATTCAAGCCGTTGTTCTGAACAATCGCCAGAGAATTCTTGAGGCGTATATCGATGCAGGCGTTAACCCCGATATTGTATCAGCAGGACACGGAATGGGGTCACTACTATTTATAGCCGCTATATCTAATTATTCTGATATGGTTGAATTTCTATTCCAGAAGGGGGCCGAACCCCGGCGAAGGCCGGAGCTCCCGTCAGAATGGTCTATGTTGGATGAGGTGGGGCTATATATCCACGCGGAGAAGCCGGTAGATAATTGGGGAAAAACGATGTTATCATTCCTTCAACTCGGTGTCATTTTTTCAGAACTGATAGTGGCTCGGCAACTATGTGGCATTCCAAACGCCCCACATTTTCTTGAGGTTGCACTCAGGAATGGCCTGGATATCCATCGCACATGGAGAGGCATATCTTTGCTCCACATTGCTGCTGGAAGTGACAATCGTCAACTGTTGAAGACTATACTCTCCCATGCACCAGAACAATTACACGCCCAAGCAATTCTTGATTCGACGAGATACCCCATCAGACACCAACCGGCCCTAGACGTAGCAATTTCTAGTGGTATCACGATGAATGTTGGGTACTTACTCGACGTGGGAAGCAAGCCAACCTTTTATTCCCTAGAAGACGCAATCCAAATATGCAAAACGGGACGCGGCGGGGATAGAGTGGAATTTCCATACGAAAGTCCAGGATGGAGAGCATGGAAGCTTCTATGGGTTGGTTATGTGCAGAGAATGGCAAGCAAGCTTGATCTTGACAGCGTGGAGGCCGCTTCGACTCTTGAGAAGATTTTGCGTGATGAGGCGTGGTCTGTTCAATGAGAAAATGCAGAGGATGGAAGTTTATATCTGCCTGCTTTATTCCGGAAGATGAGTCGGCGTAGCCGGTTGCTCTATGCGCGCAGGCTTGATTTCAGGAGATATGAAGTGAGATTAACTGTAGCGAGAATAAAACTTCAGGAGCTGGAGGACAACCTTGACCGGTTGAAGCCTAGTTGGTGGCAGGCTTTGGATCGAAGAGTATCCAGAGATAGGTCTATCAACCTTAAGATCATCCAGGAACTTGAGAAAGCGAAAGAACGTGACTATGTTGAACAAAAAGTGAAAGGGCTTGAAAAGATTCTGGAACCGAGGCACGAGGCTGCCGTGGATTTGCCATAGAGACTTGCTGATATCTGCGGTTAATGAGGCAGTTCGTTTTGGGAAAGTTCCCAATTGTACTTGAAACATGTCGAACGTTTTTGGACTAAAAGGTATAGACCTAGTATATGGAAATTTTATCCATGAATTCTACAGCCGTCACGTTATTTAGCTATCTTCATTTATCTGTTGCAATATCATGTAGGACCTCTCGCATAGAGATAATTAATACGCAAGTAGCCTCCATCGAAGCAAACATGATCATCTCGAATAACAATGTATAATGTTTACAATCGTATGTTTAATGTACTATACGGACTCCCAGCTGTAAGCCTCATGGCCACATAAGCGGGCTTTGCAATAATGTGTACCCTGATAAAGAAGACTTGTCAATGTCAAAGGCCCAGAAATAATGGATGGTGCTCTGAGAACGTACTATTGGCTAGAAATACATGCTTTCTACCTATAAAATCCTGCTCATAGATCATCTTATACTATATCTTATGTATCCATCTTGTAATACAAGAAATCCTGATAGTAATTGTCGATGGCGGCACATTAAGGGCTGTATTACTTATAATGCTTTCGCGGGTGTCTCCGCCGCTTGGTATATCCATCTGTCGGATTGAAGGTTATTAGCACTGAGTAGGGCAAAGGTTCGGTATCTTGCCAACCAACATCTCTTTTGTAGATCACCCATTTGCCAGGATGTGGAAAGTAGCGTACACATGAAACTTTGTGCCATATGACTCACAGGAAGTAGTGGGATCAACCATGAGCAACAAAGAGAGGTGAGCTGGAAATATTTGGGACAAAGAGAACAGGGACCACAGGGTTGCTTTACTTGATTTCATTGTGTGCTTGGGAGAGAACGTGATGAAAGAGCATCTTATCCCACAGAATTACTGTCTCTTACTTTGTACAAGGAAGATATCCTCATGCCTTTGAAGACGGTGTAATGTGGTCTCGGTTTGTTATGCTACTACTTGAATTTTATTCTTTCGTCTGCGCGATCTGTTTTGTGTATGTCCGACAGGTTAAGGTATTACATAGGGATAAATATTCTGATCCTGTACCCACCCTTTCAAATCATAAAAGGAGCCACGAAGCCACCTTGTTGCAAAAGGAAATCTCCAACATGATACGAACTCCTTCCAAGTTTTGAAGCATCAGTTATCACACGAATAAGAGCAATATGTTCTATTTAAACACTGACTTGATGTTTCATTTAACACTTGCATCGGATGCCCATAAGAAACCCACTCACCTATCAATCCTGCAATTTGAGCCTTCACTCTCTTCTGAACGTCACTTCTATCAGTCAAAATGTCATATCCCGGGTATTATCTTTCAGATTTGCCTGTGGAGCTGGTTTTTGAATGTGTGCAATATTTGGACACCCCGTCTGTTGTCCACTTGTCGGGGACCTGCAAGAGGCTCAACTTAGTCCTCCGTCGCAACTGCACTGAGCGGGTGACAGAGCATGCTTTAGAGTATACATCTGTTGACGCATACAAGGGAGGGGAAAAGATTGACTTGGATGCTGGTTCAATCAAGAGGCTGCTGAACCGGCCTAAACAGCCAGGGACCCCGTTGTGGAGTAAGGAAATGGATCGCTGGGAATATAAAGAGTTCCTAATATATGTGCCCAGGACCCGAATTGAAGTGGTCATTTCGCGGGGAAGGAATAGCTGTTTAAGATCATACTTGTCCGCAGGTCTTGATCCTAACTTATACCTACCTGAAAGTGATGGAAGTGATGACAAGGATAACAAGGTCAACAGTACCGACGGCGACAACAGAATCGACAGCGACGACAGCGACGACAGCGACGACAGCGACGACAGTGACGGCAATGATGAAAATGACGAAGGTGATGAATATGATGTTAAATTCAATTACGACGGTCCAAGTTCACTGTTGCACAGAGCTACAGATTACAAGGATGTCGAAATGGTCAAAATCCTGCTGCAAAACGGTGCTGACCCTAGACTACCTTGCACTAGAGGCGGCCCGCCAGGTACTTTCGATAGTTTGTTGGGTTCTACGAAGAATATCTGTCCACTAATGGCAGAGGCTCTCCTAGATGCTGGTGCCACACCCTTTTCACTCGCTTATGTTATCGAATCATGCAGGTTTCACGGACCCCCCAGCTCTTTGATTGACCTCGTCTTGAAGAATTATATGAAAATGCACAGCACCTACTCTGGAAGGCTATCCCTCACAGATTTTACTGATGCAACAATACTACATTATGCTGCTTCCGAAGGCACTCCTGATCTCCTGGAGGCGATAATCTCTCGTGCACCAAACCTGCTACACGCAGGAGCAATAGGGTGGACCAATGGTTGTTTAGACAAAGTTATTAAGCCTGGTCCAGACCTTGTTCCGAATGTCGATGTTCCGCGAGGTTGGTATGACTTATACTCACCGTTGAACCTAGCTCTAGGATCACACAAAGAAGCGAATGCCAAATATCTGCTCCAGTGTGGTAGCAAGGTCGATATAGGCTCATTTAAATGCGTGTGGGAGCAGGCCTGTGAGTGGACTAAGTTTACTCCCATTTGGGTGGATATTCTAGAACTTATGGCTGCCAAGATTGACTTTGACACCCCGCACAATACCCCAATGATTCAGTGGTGTATTGATTTTTTCTTCCATAAGAAAGCTTCCCACGAGAAAAGATTCTTCCAAAATCTCTGTCTACCAAGTTTTCTCGGTAATATGAGCCTCCGTACCCGTGCTCAGTACCTTGATAAGTTTAATGTCGAAAGTTATCAGGAGCATCTCGACGAATTGAGGTATATTATTGCCTGGTGCGAGGTTGTTCTCCAAAATGAGACACAATTGGAAGGGAAGACTGGAATAAGTGCAAGAGATGAGCCAACGGATTGTCCCCCTTGGTTGGCATGTTTTAGGAAACATGAGAAGGCGCAGCAAGAGATAGTCGAATTGTTGTGGGAGGCTATGCTTGATACGGAATCACCAACGAATCTTAGCGGGCTGGTTGGGGGGTGCTACAATGGCACCTGACCTCATGAGCTGGGAAGCACTTTTGGATAGTATAGATGTACAATTTTAATCAATACAAACCATGGAAGTTCTGTTTTCAAAATGCCAAATTATCTCTGTCAATATTGAGCTGTTAAATAGTCATTAGATCAAGTGGCAATCCACCACGTAGAACAATGCCAGGAGTTATAGCACCGCACTACACTTGAACCTTCTTCTCAGCCTAGCGGAATATCGAAAATTACACATACACTTGTATTCTAAAGGTTGACAGTCGCAGAATAGTACCCTACTATATTGGATGTGGTAGTTGTCAGAAAGTCAGGTGGAGTCTCGGCAAGATTGTTAAGGGAACCTCTAGTGGCTATAGCAATAGAACTCTGTTATTGTATTTTGAGTTATATGAGACGTAGTAACTATTCAATGTGAGCCGTCCGGGCTACCATAATATATAGGCGAGCAAAGGTCGAAATATGAATGAGAATTCTGTTCGGAAGACTTGTGAAGTTAGGCCTTCCCACCGTTAGTTGAGTCCTTATTCGTAGATGTAGTTCCCTCTTCTACGAACACATCTGCTTTGAAAATAAGTTCTCGGTAGTCAGGAGTGGCAAACCCCCCACAAACATAAATGGCTGGGAATAGCATGCACAATATCCGGTGACCATACAAGTGATCTCCCTCCTCATAGTAGGCGTTATTTAACTTGGTTTCTGTATTCGAAGGGTCGTAGACCTGTCCGATATTGCGCAAGTCTCGAAACTCCACGTAATGATCATCCATCGAGAGCTGCACAGAGAGCTCCGCGGCTTTAAGGTATGCTGCATCCAGTATTCTCTTGACAATATCATCCTTCTGTCCATCCGCAGGGGGTCTAAGGAGCGGTTTCAATAGCTCGTTATTCAGAACCTGCGCAACCATTGCCTCGACCATGAGTTTTCGGCGTGACATCATTCTTTCGGCGAAATTGTTCCGGCGATCCATTACCTTTTTATTGCAAAGGCGGGCTGTCCATAGACGCCAAGATTGAGCCAATAACTCTCGCTGGCCGTCTATACAAGATGGCCTGTTAGTAGTGAAATCAAATGCGAGGGAAGGACCGGTTTACCATTGTCGAATTCCTTAAGTAATTCATTAAGCATAGTACCACAGCGAGTCGCCTTCGGTAAGATTTCCTCGTCGTACTCGCTACCTTGTCCTGGATGGGGGGCTATATACCAGAAGGGGTTTGTGAAGAACCGCTCAAGACAATCTTTGACAAGAAACATGGTGACAAGTTCAAACCCAAATACACGACCAAGCTTGACACCAGAGAGTATTTCGCTCATGTCGACTTGAGCGCAGTAGCCATCCAGGGCTTTGACGAGGTCTTGCTTGTAGCTCTCTGGAAGGCTTTCCAAGACCGTGGTTTCTTCATAAGCATGATTTTCCGCCCAGTGTTTCAAAGAGAGAAACATTCTAAAAAATGCTTCTTCATACTTCTGGTCTGACATGCAGCCCCAGTCACCATGGTGGGCGGCCAAGTACTCGTATTTGTGCAGTGTGTCAGCCGTTATGGCTTCCATGTCGCGGAGACCTTGCTTCGCATGCTGGTATAGTTCTCTGATCTTTCGATACTTTTTGTTTCTCCGTTTCTCCTGCATGTTCATCCTTTGGCGCTGTTTCTTTGTTCTTTGGTGTTGTTCAGTCATCTTTCGATGTTGTTCCTTCAACTTGCGACACTTGTCTTTCGTCTGACGACACTTCTCCTGCGCCCTCTGGTGCTCTTTCTTCAGCGCATTGACCTCATCAAGTGTCATTGATACAGCTTCAACATCGGTATCAAGGGCATCCTCAGTCTCGAAATGATGAGCATCTTTGGTCTCAGTCGGATGAGCAGCCATAGGCCCGCCAGGATCGGTATCATTTGTCTCGGTAAGACCAGCGTCGTCAGTGCCGGCATTTTGGGCATCATCCGCCTCGGTAGGCTGAGCATCTTTAGCCTTTGCAGAATTTAGAAAACGCGGCGATCTCCGGATTGAGGAGGAATCCAGCTCTTTTCTTGATGTCCGATACTGTCTCACACTCGAGGGTGGTTTGTATGGTGGGTCTGAAGGGTAACCGGAGGCAAGTTTCTGGATATCAGACTTCAGAATCATCTCTGTAATCTGCCGTGGGAAAGAAAGGGCAGATGTGAGTTTAGTCTTTGTAGTTACCTTGGTGTTCGTCTTCTCCTTAATCGTTGGACCTTTTATTGCCATTGTAGATAGAGACAAATGTGACCGACTTTTGGGATACAGCAAAAGGAGAAAGCATTAGCAGAGGGCAATGCAGGTAGGATAGATCAAGCTGCGCAGAATTGTGAGGGTTCAGGAAAGCGGGCGGGGAAGGGGGAAAGGGAACAGGGCAAAAATGGGGCATAGGCTAGACCAGCCTACGATTCGACAAATACACTTCGATTGTCCTACATCACTTCAGCTGGCAATTTCGGGTTATCGCAGCGTTCTGTTATTGCTCAATGGGCCAATGGAATGGTAAAACGGTACCTAACTAATCCATGTCCTTTGTTAGTCAGAGGGATCGTGTAACAACCCCGTCAGCGCCTTGTCAAACAAAGGAACGATAGTGGTAATGGATGGCTCTTCCGCCACCCTGAACTCGAATTCGAGAGCATTCATGGATAGATGGAGACGAAGGTTAATTTAAGTGATTTTCCCTTCTTTAACCATCCGTGTCTTCCTTTCTGAGGCCGGTGGCGCATAGAAATTAGTTGCCACTACCCTGGACATTATGTGCACGCAGTCAGTCATGGCGAATTAAAAGCATCAAATACACGGTCGAACAGAAGATCAAAAATACCGAGGGCTCAACTTCGGGTACAACTACAAATACGGTACCGACCAAGACAAAATTACTTGTCAGGTTGTCAGACCTCTGCCTATTGTGTTACAGAGCAGCATTACTGTCACTCTATTGACTGATAGATTAACTCAAGGAGGGTCTGTCTCCCCGCTATTATTGTGTAATGTGTAAAATGTTCTGGTTCCGTGCACCACTTGCTGGAGACAGGCATAGCGGCAATTGCATCGTATGACTCCAACTGGGCCTGAAGCTTGGTCGGAAGCTATCATATAGAGCTCCCCTTACGACATTGCCGACCCCGGCGCCATATGGAGAATGCAACCATCCACCCCCAACAACTTTCGTCCAAGCTAGTGCTGTCCATAGCTACCTCAGCTCCGACCATTCTGTTTATTTGTTCACACACTTCACATACACAGTGATTACGATGACTGAGAACGCCGCAGCACCAGCAACCATAGTAATTGGTGTTGATTTTGGGACCACATATACAGGCACGTCACCTCGGCTGATGCCCTGATTACACATGACGAAGCACTGTGCTAACATTGAGATACCACTAGGGATTGCATTCTCAGTAAGAGATATTTCTCAATGGCGTGTGCCAGACAAAGATGGACATGTTAGCAAGTGGCCTGGTGACAAGAGGCTGTACGCAGAGGGGAAAGTACCTTCAGTCCTCGAGTACTATGGCACTGAGTTTCGGTGGGGGGCCATGGTGAAAGGTTGCAACGAGCAATGCCCTTCTCTTTTTAAGCTCAAGCTTGAGGAAAACTTGGATCAAACCAAGTTTCCTTATTCAATACTGAATTCAATAGCGAGTAACGGTGTCTTCTACCTACCAGACGGCAAGCAAGCTCGCGATGTCATACAAGACTATCTCAAAGGATTGTGGAGTTATGCTGAAAATGAAGTGTCGAAGGAAACCCGTCAGAGATTAAGCAAGCTTCCGAACTCCAACCAGGTACCGGTTCACTACATCATCACAGTCCCAGATTTCTGGACAAAGAAAACCCGCGATCTGATGTCGCAAATTGTCTGTGATGCTGGATTACCGAAGTCCGAGGGAGATAGGTTAACCGTTATTCCCGAGCCAGTAGCGGCAGCCGTCAAGATACTATCTGACTTACCCAAGAACACGGTAATGGTAAGCTGTTTAGAATGCTTTCTTGCTGTTAATATTCCTAACAGTTGGTGATCGGATTAGCAAAATGACGCCATACTTGTATGTGATGTTGGCGGCGGAACGGTTGTGAGTTTCATCCCTTCTTCGTCTTACTGCACTTATTTAGCTTTCTGGCTACATATGGCACCAACGTCACCAAAAGTGGCTGCTGATTCCTTGCCTCTTCAAGGATGTGGGGTCAGTTGTCATTCTTTCAACAGGGCACAGACGTTACATTCGACAGCCCCGGCCTGTCGGAGGTATTCACCCTTCTATTAAGAGTGTCAACAGAACAATGCTAAGTCTTCAGATAAGATAACTCTGGAATGCTGTCTGCAGAAGCGGAGTTTTACCGCACAATGGAGGAAAGATTTAAGCACGCATTCAGGAACAAGCCTTTGGAGAAAATCGGTCCAAATAGCCCGCTTATCCACGCTTTTCGGGGTCACCTACAGAGTTTCACGACCGATGATGCGCAAATTCAGGGTTCGAGGTTTCGTGTACCTCTCCCAATGGAATTAAACTTTCATAATCCTGGCATCTATGATCGTGCTAGAGGACAAATCGTGCTGACCACTGAAGATTTAAAATCATTCCTTGACCCTGTAGTCAAGGTGGCTGCTCGCCTCATTGGAGCCCAGGCTGGTGTCGTGGCCAAAGCCGGTTTTGGCAACTTGTTGAAGGTAAGGGTTCCCCAGTTGCTGGGACGCACTACACAGAGGTCCAGAAGGATGACACTATGTACAGCACGTTTACTTAGTCGGAGGCGGAGCAAATAATGGCTATGTTAGAGACTCAATTGCCACCGATGTGCTGAGCCAGTGTGGACTGACCGTCCTTACTCCCGCCAGGCCGTACGTGGACTGTGATTTCGTAATGACATGAGATTGTATAAAACTAACGCTTACCAGACAGCTAGCAGTTGTCTACGGAGCCGCAGCCTTTGGCCAGAGAGACACACTGTCAATCCACCACTGCCCGATCCACATCGGGCTATGTGGTAATCAGCTATACATTGGACAAAATGTCCCCATACGAGACCCTGTGGACGGTAGTGAGATACGTTGTGGGATAGTGACTTGGATCCTCAGAATGGCAAGTTTACCACCTTGATTTCCTTGTGTGCCGTGACTGTGCTAGCTGTGTGGTGTCTGAAGGGTGAGAAGTATGACGAGGGCCCGGTGCGAACAGAGGAATTCATCGAATATTTCCTCAACGGTGCCACACCAGCCACCCGTTACATGTCCGTATACCCATCCGGCGCTGAAATCCCACCCCGAACCGTCGAAGGTTAGCCAACCAGTCTCTTTGCATAGATATTATCTGCCTAACCACCCTAGGTTTGTTCTCTAAGGGTGCCATTGAAATTCGATTCGGGGACGTTCCAGTAAAGAAGAGGGAGAACAGAACAATCAACAACCAGATGCAGTGCAGGGTTCGTTACAAAGTTACCACCACTTTCCTCCCTATTGAGAACCAGATTGAGTTCGAGGCAAAACTTGACAATCAAGTGATTGGACGCCTCACCATTAACGTTCCGTATTCTTAAATGTCTGTTTTCTCTGGCATTACCTTCGCACCTCCCTGACCTTCTTTTGAATGGATTGAACCTATGTTGCTTTGCTTTTAATTGACTACCAGGTTACTGTATTCGATCTAGTCAAATTGGCAACATCCTCATTCTTTCATATGTTGCTTTTACTTTCATCAACTATCAGGCTACCGCACTGAAATCTCCTAATAAAACTGGCAATTTCCTCTTTTGTTTCTTTCCTGCGTTGCTTTCCATCAGGTTAGCCATTAAGCTACTGCACATGATCTTCTCATTCATTGGCATCTTGTTCCTTCTTTCTCACTCTATGTTGTTGTCCATAACATAGCTATCAGGCTCCAGCACTCGACCTCCCAATCGAGTTTGCAATTTTCTCGATCTCTCTCTCTCTCTCTATGTTCATGTTGCGTTTCTTTACATTTTTCTTGTCTCATCTTTTGTTCTTATTTGCTCTTTCTTGCCTCCTTGTTCGCTGTTATCATTGTTCCGAACCGTTCATTTTTTCCATGCAAACTATGAACACGAAGTATGCTTGACAGTAGTAGCTTTCATGAGTGTCACATACAAGAATGTATTTTCGAAATCTGAATTTTATCCTCTTACTACCTTCGTCGCTGCGCCATCCAGACAAATCGGGGGCATTGTGAAACTTTACTTGGTGTTGTGCAACACCGGGGAAGCGGGACAGTGTGGCGGATAAGCAGATGCTACACAAACACTCAATAGAGCTTTCGGAGATCTCGTGATGTTTCACACCTCGTTTCCGTAACCTACAATATTGATCGACCGGATCTTGGCCTGTGACAGGGTGGATTCTGTCATCGCAGGCTGGACATGCCGGTCGGAATTGTTGCGGACAGTTGCAGAAGAATGTGTCTCTACCGTATCCGTGCATTGTTTGGGGTAATGCACTGTGTGCGAGGAAACTCGTTCCTGCACTTCAGAATAGGCCTGTGATGGTATTCTAGCATTATCTCTGTTATTTTGTAAGTCCATCATACTGCAGAATTGATACTTGACACATGCGGGATTTTAGAGGTATTCTACAAACCCTATCAACGTCTTTCTCCTTGTCGTCGTGTGGCTCTTTCTAAATTCAATTCGGTTATTTATCTGTTTTATTTTTCCGCCTTGAAGTAGATAGACTAACCTTACTATTTTTATCACCACGACAAGACGGGACGGTAACTTGCTGTAGGCTTACTCGATGCCTGGACGTATCTATTTACCTGGGTTTTGGGTATACCGGCGGTGGCGACTAGACCATTGAGTAAATGCGCTTGTCTCTTTCGTGTTTACGATAGCTGTGTGTTCTGTCCTCTGTCGGAGTGTTTCTGATTCCATGGGTGGCACTGTAGGAACTTTCTCCGCCATGACAACATACTACAGGGGGCGTTCAGTTAACAACATCGGTCTTGCGTAATGGCCACGCCATACATTGGATATGAAATGTCAGTCTTTTTGAGGCCCTCGACGAGTCGAAAAACCGGACTGGAAACCCCAGACATGTAAATCACGTGACTGTCCGACATCCCAGATTGTCCACATCCCGACCCTTCCTTCTATTGGCTGGCGTGCTGCCGGATGTCCCCGGAACCTCAGACCTGAAGCAGCAGCCCTGAGGCGAACGAACCCCTGCAACGATTTCCCCCGGCCGTTCCAATTAAGCGGGGACTTATTCTGACAAGCAATTGACAGGAGATCGATCATCCAACACATCCGCTCCATGGCAATTTTTTCTCGTTCCTGTTGTCTGGTGATGGGATCGAATTACTGATCAGGTTTTTCCCTCCCGGTCCACCCTGCAGCCTGCGGGGTGCCGATGATGGGGAGAGTGGCGGCGAAAAGACCCTACCAGTCGCAGTCTAGACTAATTAAGGGCGAAGCCTCCTTCAACTATGGATAGTGAGCTCTCCAGGGTCGGCCCGGAAGATGACAGGATGCCAGGCAATTGGTTGCAAAGAGGCGGTCTGGCCAATGCATCTCCCCATCCCTGCCGCATGAACTGTGCGCCCCAATCACTGGCCTTCACAGCGGATTGCCGCCTAAAATTCACGGATACCTGCTGCTTCAACCTTTTCACAACCACCACCACCACCACCACCTCTTTTCATTCACAACGCACTTGACTGCACCGGGCTGACCTGGATGGGCACGGTCCTCCTCTCCAGATGCTGGCTGCACTTTTATCCTCTCACTCATGCAATCCATCCCTTAATGCCGTCCTGTTTTTCCGTGCAAGTAAGAAGATCAAGGGGATAGATGAGAGGGGAATGGAAAGCGCATCATGTGAAAGTCGTCAATTAAGAATACTATTCATGCCTTCAGTAACAAATCTAAGTCTACAAGATGAATCTCCTACTCCGCCGTCCAAGATCACCAGACATCCCGACTAGGGAATTAGTGGAGCACGTGTGGTAAATTCTAGAACCCCAAGGCAAAAGGGGGCGGCCGCACAAAAAGCCCGGCCTGTGATGCCCTTGGAGACTTTTCTCCTTTCTCTCATTTTTCTCGTCGACCATGCGCTGTGAGTGTGTTTGTATTTCAAGGGTATTGTGTGCATAGTACCGGCCATTGCAGTGGTGTGGTGATCCATGCTCTGCTACTAAGCACCCCGGCCAGTTTCACTAGCAACAGAGTGTCAGACTCGGTGGAACGCTCTAGCTGACCACGCATCGTAAGCTGCTTGGGTTTTCAGGGTCTGCAGCTGACCGTGGTCTTCGTCACGCCGCTCCGACAAATGCTGTCTAAACTGCTCTACAACATTCAGGAGCTCCCGCCTGACCATCGCGTTATCGCGGGACAGCGGCACCGGCGCTTGCTCTATTACGTAGCCCATCTGGCATCATGGACCTTCAACCTTTATCTCGTCCTTCGACTAGCTCTGTGTTTCTCTGCCGTGCAACAAGATTGGCGAGTATGGCTAACTCTGTTGGTCGAGATCGTCCTCGCCAGTATGTCTATACCACCGTGAACTGCCGTGTTTCGGCATCCCGGCTCCCTTCCTGAGCAAACGAGGACGCACAAGCTAATATGTTGTCAGACTTTTGGCGCCATGATCAGCTTCTTACCTTATTGGGTGGCTTGGCATCAGATGGCCAACCACGCCAAAGACTGCGATTACACGGCACCGACGATCTACCGCAGGTGGACATTCTGGTGCCCTGCTGTGGAGAGCCAGTCGAAGTCATCCTAGACACCGTGCGCGCTGCCTGTACGATGGACTACCCAAATTCCAGCTTTCGGGTCCGCGTACTGGACGACGGTGCTTCCACAGAGCTCGAGTCTGCCATTGCATCACTACGCACCGAATGGCCTCACCTCTTCTACCACACCCGGGGAAGGCAATCCGGTAAAGTCTTCGCCAAGGCTGGTAACATGAATTACGCCCTCTTCACCCTGCAAGAGAAGGCGCCACCTGAGTTCTGTGCCATCTTTGACGCAGACTCCATCCCCATGCCTCACTTTCTGAGGGCGACGTTGCCCCATCTCCTCCAGACCCCGGACGCAGTGCTCCTCACCACCCGGCAGTACTTTTATAACCTCCCATCAGGTGACCCCCTGTCCCAGTCACGCCTCCACTTCTACGCATGTGAAAATGCAGAGCTCGATCGTCGGGGCCTTGCTCAGGATGCAGGCTCCGGGGCCCTTTTCCGGCGACAAGCCATCATCGATGCCGGCGGATATCCAACGTACTCCTTTTCCGAGGATTGGCAGCTCTCGCTTGTTCTGAAAGGTCTAGGCCACCGCACCATTCAAGTCCAGGAGCCACTACAGTATGGATTGGTTCCGACGTCCTTGGATGGACACATTGCACAGCGCAACCGGTGGCACATTGGCCACTCCCAACAGCTTCGGGCGTTGATGCCGCCCACAAACAAGACGCTTCCCCGCTCACTGCAGTGGAGTATTGCATGGAATGGCGTCTTCATCATGGCTGGGGCAGTTGGCTGTTTGATCACGTTTGCGATGGTTCCATTGCTTCTGGTGTCGGGTCAGCTGGTCCCAGATGTTTCGCCACTGCTGGCCAAAGCACAGTTTTTCTTGGCTGTTCTCCATATTGCCTTGACCTGGGCGTATGGACTTTTGCAGAGTGCGCATACGGGATTCGAAAGCTTTCCGTTCTCTCGTTATGAAAATATCTGGCTGGCTGGAGGTAAGATACACATCGTTTGTTTTTGTTTTTCTGCTTTACACCCGCGTATCGTCGTTGCCCGTTCTATTATGGTCATGAAGGGCGTCTGGACTTCAATCCCACTACTTTGTTTTAACATTATCCTCACATTGCATCCCTCCATGAAGATGGAAGCTCTCTCTTACCTTCCACTATGATTCAAGACATAACTAACAACAACAGCACACATCCACGCTGTCGCTCGATTCCACCTCCTCGCCAGCCGACCGAAGGGCTCCTTCGTGACTGGCAGCAGCGCCAACTCATGGAATCGCAGCGCGACCCCGACATTTCTCCAAAAGCTCTACCACAATCTGTGGCACAACGGGATCGCATACAGCATCGTGATTCTCCTTGCCACTATCGCATCCATTGTCTACTCGATCTACTCGGCCATCACAACCACCGACGATAGTTTGCTATCCCGCTTGCTCACCACAATTGCCTGGCCGCCAATGCTTCACATCTGCTACCTCTCCATCGTCAGTTACTGGGCGCCCGTCTCATACCTGCTGAATCCGCCGCGGTACCCGGAGCGGAAGGCTGGATTGGCATTGTCGGAGACTGGTGTGGTGCTTCCGAGTGCGGAGGTCCAGCAAGCTGCTATGGTGCGTGGGGAAGCGCCGGTCGGATTTTATCGTCAGTGCGTGGTGGTTGTGTTGGTTTTGGGTGGGTTGTTGTTGGGTGGATTGGCATTGTGAGTGATAGAGATGGATTGGTTGGGTTGCTAGATTAGATTGTGAGTAGACGTGGTGGTGTTAGGTTGTTTAAATATGAATATTCGTTGTCTTTATTCCTGATTCACCCTTGAAACAGTTCAATGTGAGGCAAACACAACAAGTAGGATTCGCCTGTCCTAATCCACGTTTGATACACTATACAGCATTGAAACAGTGAATTATACTTGATAGATATAGTCAAAGAGCTCAATAAACTGATCTATAGATATATTAACATTCCAATTCCATTCCACCTCAGTCATAACCGATCTAAGCACCCATCATCCAACGAGACAATGTATATAATACAACGTGTGCAATACAATACCGTTACCATCTTAACTCGACCCATCACAACCCTCAATCACTCAATCTCATCATCCCCAGCAAATCTACTCCACCAACCTCTCCACAAACCTCGACTTCGCTCTCAACCTCTCCCCGAAATAGTAAATCCCCAAGAGTCCCAAAACACCCAACCCACTCACACCCCCAAGCACACTCGACCCCCTCGCCATCCCCAGATTCTTATACAAAGGAATCCCGAAATGCACGGCCCCAGCAGCCAACGTACTCCGACAGAAGTCATTGGCCGCAAACAGACTCGCCGCGTACTCTGGATATATACTGGGTATATACATGGACAGACACTGCAGGATGATGAACACTGCGCTAGCGTACATTGTCACGCCGATGATGCTGACGATCCAGTGGATGGAGGGGCGGAGCGTCCAGCCGTAGAGGAAGAGGGAGATAGGGACGAGGAAGGTGGCTGGGATGGCGGGGATGAGGTGTCGTTCGTGTTTTGTAGGAGGTGTGTGGGTTGGTGTGGATTTGGGGGAAGTGTTGTCATGGTGTTTGCGGAGGTAGTTTGGGAGGGAGAGGTATGTGAAGTAAGCTGCTACTGCGAGGAGACACCCTACTAGGACGGAGAGGTAGAACAGGCTGAGAGTTGTAGTGGATACATTGTAGACGGGTGGGTAACCGATGGGGAAGGCGTCGAAGAAGGTATAATACGTGCCGTAGATGAAGGAGGTGTAGATGTTGGCGAAGAGGATGGCAGGGTCTTGAAGCGTGATTTGGACGGGTTTGACGAGATAAAATTTCAGTTTAGCGAGGGGGTTATCATCTTGGCTACTAGTATTGTTGTTGTTCTGGTTGTGGCTGGTATTGAACGCATTGCTGCGGTATCGTATGGTCGGGGCGTAAGTTTCAGGCAGGAGGAAGAGCAGGATGCATACCGGGCCGGACATACAGGCGAGGAGCCACATGGTCCATTTCCAGGAAATGTTGTTGACCAGGCTGTTGGTGAGCAGGGGTCCGAGAGCCGGGCCGCAGTACGCTGCAGCTACCCATAGAGCGAGGGTGTAGGGGAACTGGGATTCGGGGTAGAGATCGTGCATGGAGGCGCCGCCGTTGGCGAGGCACGGGCTGCCGAAGAGGCCCTGCATGAAGCGAAGGAAGATGAATGCGCTGTAGTTGGATACATCGGCGGCTCCGATCGTGACGAGGATGAATGCTACGAATGTACCGAAGTAGACGACTGAGCGTCCGATTCGGGGGATCTCGCTGAGCGGGCCCCAGAGGAGGGGTCCGACGCCGTCTGTTGAAGTGAGTATAGGGTTATCGGGTAGCATTGCATGGGGTGAGGCATACACCCGAGCACGTAGATGGACAGCCCTAACATGGCGCGTTGCTCGGAGAGGTGCAGCTCCTGCATTACCAATGGAACGGCGGTGATGAACATGGATGACCCAGAATACACCACGAAACTGTACTTTTAGATAGGTACTTTTATTCGAGGTGTGATTGGGTGGACTAACGTGTAGATGTATACTACGAGGGATGTGATGACTCTCTTTGCTAGAGGCCAATTATGTGGATTCTCGCGACTTGTTGCCCAGTCCTCGACTGTAAGTGTCTTTTCTGAGTCGGATGAGTGTTTTCGCCGGTGGGTATGTCCGTCGATCTGCTTGGGTGTCTCTTGTCTGACATGGTGCTCTGTATGATCAATATTATCGGGTTTATGCAAAAAGGACCTCACAAAGACAATGCAAGGTAGATCCGGCGACATTTTGACAACGATTCACAGACAAGATAGTAGGTGGGGTAGAGAGATTTTCAGGTAAGTAATACGGCAATACTGGAAATATAAAGTACCCGAACATACATTTTATCGCCACGTCCGAGGTACAAGCACGCTTCACAAAATTCAATCCAACAAAGTTGTGTAGCTTACCATTGAGGCACGGCATGATCCACGTGTAGGAATGCGGTATGACATGTGTCTTTCCCGATGTGGTAACCGACCACCTGTCTGGAACAGTGCGACTGACCCTGGTACATTGAAGTCTATACAAGGTTTGCTGCATCATGTTGAGGAATGTGGGTCCCTGTCAGTGTGACCGGTTAACCTCGTTATTAGTCTCGCAACACCTTCCACAGCAGTGGCATAGTGGCCTCGGATGCTTGCATGCGCATTGACAAGGCTAAAAAGCTTAGCAGAACGGCATCTCCTGCCGGATCTTACCTAGAGGGCGCTCGGCCCCTTGTTAATATACTTTGGGTGAAGACTTGCGGCCCCAGACTCAGATCGGCTTTATAACTTAGTTATCTCATAATGCAGATCATCTTCTCACTTGTTTTGACGGTGACTACCCTGCTGAACTGCCAAAGCCTGGAGTGCTCGAATACCTCATCATCAGTGGCGACCGACTCTCTGAAGAAGCATGGTGTGGTCACTGCTTCCTCGGTCTACCGAGTGTATTACCTCGCAGTGGGCCTTTTTCACGCTCTACTCGTCATTCTTCCACAAGGAAAGCAGGAAGCAGTTTGCCCGAATTCAGAGCATGTCCGACATGATCACATCTTCCCCACTTACAGAACCGCAACTGCTCTTACACTCATCTGCCTCGGTAGTTGCATTCGAATCTATGCGTTCTGGCAGCTAGGGCCATGCTTCACTTTTTCTCTCTCAAAGCCTGATCGTCTTGTCACTACGGGCATATATCGCTACGTTCGTCATCCAGCATACGCTGGATTAGCCATCCAGGCCCCTGCAGTGTTGTATTTCTGGGCAAGAGAGGATGGTGTACTTGCATGTTTGATGTCAGATTTACCACTATTGCATGTAGTGACCATCGTACACTGGTGCTTCTGGGCTGTAGCTCTGCCAATGATGGGATGGGTACGTATCAAGGAAGAGGAGGAACTGCTAGAGAAGACGTTTGGTCAACAGTGGAAGGAATATCGTCACACAACACGCATGTTGGTGCCGTTCCTCTTTTAAGTAGGGATTGGCGGGCCGGAGTGGGTCATGCCATTTTTGAAGATGCTTGCATATGGTAGCGGTACACGCAACCACCGTCGGTAGTCGGCTGGAAGCTCTTGCATGACAGTTCCGTTATCGATGAAAGTAGTTTCCTAGCTATAATTAGTCTTTTAATGTAAGAGGAACTATCCCTTATGATGACTGCGATGCCGTGTTACGATGGCACCACCGTCATAACTACCATCAAATGTATGTCCAGTGCCAATATAGGCAGGTTCTTTGCTTACTGCCATTCATTGGTTGCCAATTTTGCGGACATGCATATTCAAGGTATAGTATATGATATCCTGGTTCAGTTCTGTTAATCAACTTGGTCTGAGAGCTCCACCGGTGGTACTTAGGTGCTAACACTTGCCGGCTTAACCATGTATATATATTTCGGGCTACACGTCGTGAGATCATTGACAAATAGACACTAACTTGATGTTACACTGTGTTGCAGAATAATCGTGTTAGGACCGTGTCATCTCTAATAGTTATCCATTATATTGTGTTGAGCATGATGTAACGCTAAGATCGCTGGCATGCGCTCAGGAGCAGGTGGCATGTTCTGGGATTATGCCGGCCTCATAGACTAAGTTTTGAGATGTCACGACTCAACAGATCATCAGATACTAGTAGCAACCTAAGACACCTTGACTGGCAGCTACTCTACTCCCTCCTGTGCACAAGAATGCAATGCCCCAGTTTCGGTCAACGGCCAAGGGCGCTTCCGAACCATCGGAATAAGAGTGCCACTCAAACTATGGAAATAGACTCCGGCACCCGACCGAGGCGAGGCAGCTTCCGTGGTGCACAACCGTGCATTTAAATCCGAGCACAGAGACACGCACATACCATGTTGCACCATGCGGGCTCATAGATAACCTGTTCGGAGCCGGGCCAGCAGGGTCAAAATGCCGAGTGACATCACGGACACGAAAATGGCACCGCTACTCCAGACCCCAAGCTGACTTCGCTACCAAAACTGCCACACCAATCATCGGGGTATTCCCGTCTCATATAGAGCAAGTGCGATGGTAGCACAGACAGCCATCTCCACAATCAATGCGGTCGGTTGAAGGATGATCCCCACGGCCAGCCATCGGCCGTAGCTTATCTGGTAATTCGACTCTCTCACTGGCCGATCAATTCAAGTCGACAGAAATATTTTGCAAATAATTTCTAGAAGCCTTCTTTATCTCGGCTAAACGACCCACAATTCTGCGGCGCCCCCGAGTTTGCCGACCGACCATCACCATTTCTGCATCCCGTTTCATCCCGATCGCGCCTCTCCAGCCCTAGACCGGGGCCTCCCGATCACAAAAACGTCCCCTTCACCACGCGATCAATTGCATGCAATCCTTTCTTATCTTTTCCTATCTTTCTCTGACATGCTGCAGAAACAAACCACTTATCTCGATAGCAGCAGCAGCAGTCATCGCACCCCCTCACCCAAACGAACCATGGTGGTCACTTATCTCCCCGAATATGAAAGCGACGAAACACATCCCCAGCACCATGGGCTCGAGCCCGCCATCCCGCCGTTCGCGGGCCGCATGGGCGGAAACCAAGATTTCGTGGTTGATAGGACGGATCCCAAGAACTCAAAGATGCTAGAGAAGGTGCCCGACGCAGCACCGTGCATGACACTAAAAGAGATATTCGACTTGCGGGGGTTCCTGAGCGTGGATCTATGGAAGTTTGCTGTGCTAGAATGCA